ACTGTGCTGGCCACTAGGGAAATAGCAAACAAAACAGACAAAGGAGACTTCCCTGGTGGTCCAGTCATTGGGAATCTGCCTGCCAATGCAGGGAGCATGGGTTTGATCCCTAGTCCAGGAAGATTTCCATTTGCCGAAGGACAGCTAATCCCATGCCACAACTGCCGGAGCCTGTGCTCTAGAGCCTGTGTTCCGCAACAAGGGAAGCCACCACAAGGAAACGCCCATATGCACCACCTCTAGAGAGTAGCCCCTACTCGCCTCAATTAGAGAAAGACTGCAACAGCAACAAAGACCCAGCGCAGCCAAAAATAAATTTTTAAAAAGAAACAGACAAAGCTTCCTACCCCCTTGTTGCTTATATTCAAGGAAGGAGACAACTATAGAGAAACAAATTATAAAGATCAGTAGAAGATAAGTATTCTGAGGCAATGAAGCAGGATAAGGGAGATGGGGGTGGGGGGTACGTCCCAGGTGGCGCTAGTGGTAAAGGGACCACCTGCCAATGCAGGAGGCGCAGGAAACTTGGGTTCGATCCCTGGGTCAGAAAGATCCCCTGGAGGAGGAAATGGCAACCCATTCCAGTATTCTTGCCTGGAGAATCCTATGGACAGAGGAACCTGGTGGGCTACAGTCCACAGCATCACAAAGAGTTGGACACAACTGAAGTGACTTCACACATACATACACACACACGGGAGATGGGAGTGTGGTGGGGGGCTTGCACTTTGAAACAGAGTGGTAGGAATTGGCCTCACGCAGAATAGTTGAGCCAATCTTGAAGGGGTGAGGAGGCAAAGGGAGCAGAAGTCTGGGCAGGACTGCTCCAGGAAGCATATACCCTGGGGGCTCCAGAAGAGCAGGGCTGAGGGCAGCGTGGGGGAGCTGGAGGGACGGGAGGGCAGACAGGCAGCAGGGGCCAGATAGCCTAGCATCTTGTACGCCATGATTCTTCTATTCCTAGTGAAACGAGAAGCCATCTCAGAGGATTCTGAGCCGAGGAATTACATGATCTGACTTAGGTTGTTGTGATGGCTTTAAATTATTGTATTAAATATTAAAACAAATATTAACTATTTAAAAGGGCCTGGCACAGAGCCTGGAACGTCGCTCATCCTCTCCCGGTTGAATGACCACAATGGGGGCTTTTGCTGAGGTGTGGGCAGGAGTGTGCAGGCCTGGGTCAGGAGGGCACAGGCCCTGGCAAGTCGCGGGCGCCCTCTCCTGGAGGAGCCCGCATTGGCTGTGACGCCGGAAACCCTCCGGCCCTCGCCAGGGCCCTCACCCAGAGCGGCTGGCTGCAAGGCGCTCATCTGTCCCTCAGAGCGGCCCCACCGTGCCCCGCGGCCTGGCGCCCGGCTGGTGTGTGCTGCCAGTCAGCCCTGCTTTGCAATCACAAGCCTGTGGTGTCATGGAAAGAAATCTGCGCTCTGGAGGCCAAGGAGCAGGGGCCCTCGTCCTCTGCCAATGATACGCTGTGTGACCTTGGCAGTTCACCCATCTCTCTGGGCCGTGGGGAGATTCCTCCAAGTCATAATGAGGCACCATGTGCCTGGCACATGGCAAAAGCTCACTGATGAATCAGTGAATGAAGTGGGGACCGTCAACCTTTCTGGTAAATATTTAATTTAGAGAAAAGTAAATAAAAGTGCCCAGTGGGTATTCATTCAACAAGTATTTAAATATTTGATGGGCACCTTCTATGGACAAAGCCCTCTTCCGGGCACCAGGAGTAGTAAATAAAATGAATGAAAACCTTGCCCTTGGTTAGCTGACATTTTAGGTGTTGAATCAAAGGTCAGTGATTTGCATATGAGTCCTGGGCAGGCTGGTGGTCAGAGGAGGAGTGAGAGAAGTGAGTGAGTGGAATGCTTTGTCTCCAGGCGCAGGGGTGGCGGGATAGCCAGAGTGGACAGACAGGATAGGAAAGGGCCTGCTGAGACGTCAGTTCTTGGCTTATGGACATATTTGCCTGCACAGTCCTTCCCACTCCATGTGCTCAGGTGGGGTCTGAGTTGGTCTGCAACTGCTCCCATGGTGGGAAGCTGGTCAGCCCTCTGAACCCTCTGTTTTACAGTGTTCAGACGCCAGTTCCCAAGGAGTAGGGAGAGTTTTAGCCATGGAGGGGATGGGGTGTATGTGTGCGTGGGTGCACCTGAAGATCTGGGTGTATGTGTATGACCACTGGAGACCCAGATCTTTTTCAGTTTATTTTTGTCCATTCTCTGGGGTCAGGCCACATGCATCTCCTCTGCCCCAGATTCCTAGGTCACTGTCCAACCTCCAGGGAGACGGGCAAAGCAGAGGGCTTAGAACCAGAAGCTCCAGTCCAGGAAGGCTCAACTCAGACCATGCTTTCCCCTGGGCCTCCTCCCTTCTCTGAGGACAGATGGGTAGCCATCACAGGGACAGACATGTGTGAGAAGGAAGGGCTTTCTGATCTTCAGAGCTGTCCCAGCAAGAAGGGGCCCCTGAAGTGGCAATGTGTTCTTAGACCCCAGAGACATTCAAGCGGAGCCTGAGGACAGATGGTCAAGATGTGGGGCAAGGCCCCAGGGGGTAAGTCATGGCCTGGGGGCCTTTGAGGTCTGGATCTGCCAGTCTAGAGTCCTCCACTCTCTCCTTCTAGTGACCAGTCTGCGCCTGAGCTTTTTTTGGGAAGGTAGGGAAGCCTCTAAGCCTTTCTCTGACCTCATGTCCCTTTATCCTTGGTGGGGTAGATGAGTGCTCGGAAATCATGCAGGGGGAAGAGCAAGCTGAGGACTCCGGAGGTTACTCACAGATACACATACACCACCACATCCACGTGAGCCCACCTCACCCAGGAGTCTCTCTCACACAGAGAGGAGCTCAAATTCCAGGGCCCCCCACAGGCTCAGGATAAGAAGGTGCCACCCGCCTCCATCCCAGTGTGCACGGGAAATGCTCCTGCTCATTTCTGTTGGGGGTCCACCACCAGTTGATTGGGGGGACAGAGTGTTCTAGGGCCTGCAGGGTTCACTCTGTTGGAGGATTGGGGGGAAAGGAAGGGAGGGTGGGGGGCATGAGGTTTAGCCCCAGATGCTCCCAGGGCAAGATGAAGGATAGCATACCTTGAAAAGGGGGTCCTTCCTGGAGCCCTGGAGGGAGGGACCACACAAGTTACAGGGGGGAGCCTGGCAACTCATGAGCCAGGGCTGCATCCAAGAAGGGGGAGAAAGAGACACCAGAAAGGCTTTTGGAACCTTCTGAGAAAAGCCAGTTAGGAACACCATACTAAGGACTTTAGGACTAAATCTCTGTTGGATTTATTTCCCTTACAAAATGTCCGAATTTATCATGTTTGTGATCTCTACCCTCTTCCTGCTTCTAAAGGGTAACCTCTTAAATCTGAGGGGTGGTTGGAAGACAGAGACCTACATGGATCTATCAAGCTTCCTAAATCTCTGATCCACCTGGAATTTATTTTTTGGAAGGAGTGAAAAGACGGATTTCACCACTGCCCCAGTCCATAGCTACCAAGCCCAGTACTGAATAATTAAGGTTTCCCCACAGAAACCTTTAAGATATGTGGTAATGTTTTATTTTATGATTTTCTGGGTTTTTTTTTCCATATGTCCTACATTCCCTTCTATCTTCCCAAATTCTCCCAAAATTTCCCTTTGGTATTTTAATTAAGATTGTATTACACTGAAATTATAAGCTAACATAGGGTGACTTGACATCTTTAGAGCAGTGAGTCTTCTTCTCCAAGGATGAGATAGAGCTTTCTGTTTTTCTTAACAAGGTTATTTTTCCTGAATTGGCCTTTGAGCTTCGAAGATGCAGGTTTAGTGGGAAGAGGGTGTAAGCTACCTTAGGCAAGGACCGCAGGAGCCCTACTTCAGAGCAGTCCGTGGGGGCAGTCCTGGTAATGGGGCCTAACAAGAGGTGTGTGTGAGTCCCCAACAAAAGCTCCCCCCACCATATGCTACACACATACAGCCAGGCTGCGAGGCTCTGGGAACCGAAGGGGTGACAGGCCCTGGGGAACAGTCTGGCTGGGCAGGAGGGCAGCACACAGTCCACCTCAAGAAGTGATACAAGGAATTTCCTGGTGGTCCAGTGGTTAGGACTCTATGCTTCCCTTGCAAGGGCATAGGTTCGATCCCTGGTCGGGGAACTAAGATCTCACATGTTGTGTTATGTGGCCCAAAAAAAGGTAGTGCGACAGGGCTCTCTCAGAGAAGACCTGGCAGTCAAAACAGCAGGGGCCGTACTAGGCTTGTGATTAACTTTTTATTGTTTCTGTTCAGAGCCCCTGCAGCAGGGAAGGGGCAGGCACGGGGAGGTGGGCCCCCCTGCCACCTGCCTGAGACCGCTCTCTCCTCTCTCCTCTTCTCTCTAGCATCTCGCCCACCCTCTCTCTTTCTGCATCTCCTGCTCCCACATCTGGCACCTTCGGGGGTTCTCTCTTGCAGCCCCTGCTTTGTAAGCCCACCTCGGGAAAGTAAGGGACCATGGGGTCAGTCTCAAGCCCCCCAGTCCCCACAGTGGGGGGGCTATGTCCCCAGTTACCTGCTCGGCTTGCTAAGGCTGCTGCCTTTCTGACTCAGGCTGGGGAGGGGGCAGTGAGGAGGTCCACAGGGCTTGACCTGACCCTGAGGGGATCCTACGTCCTGCTCTGGAGTCCTCTCCAAAGCCACACACTAGAGCCTGAGGTCATGGAGGTGGGAAGGGCGGGGTCAGTGCCTTGTCTTGGCTCCAGCCTGGCCCTGCCCAGCACACTCCAAGGGCGGCCCAGGGCCAGGCCCCCTCACTTCAACATCCAGACCTCACACACCAGGGGCTCTCTGTGCCCAGGAGGGTTGGGCCATGTCCCCTGTGGGGACCAGGAGGGGTGGTCGCAGTGAGCAGGGGTCAGAGGCTGTGAGGGGAGCACTGTGGCTGGGGGTGGTGCCCTGGGACGGAGGGAGGCTGGCTTTAGGAGGCAGTGAGGACAGAAGTGAGCACGGTCTCTGGTGGCAGAGAGGTCTCTGGCTTTAGAGCACCTCATGCTGCTGCTGTGTGGCCTCACTGACGACCTGGAGAGGAAGAGAAACCCAGTCTAACCCAGGGCTGGCCGGAGTCATGACCGGATGGAGTCACGACCCCGGGACGCCTTGCTCCCAGCATGGCAGACGCCTCTGCCCCCAGACAGAACCAGCACAGCTGGTAGAAGACACGTGGCTGATAGCCGCCCCCCAGACACACCCCACAGGCCCCCCCACCTCAGGGGTAAGGGGACCAGGCAGACCACTCACCTCCCCGTCCCGGGTCTCGATGGTCTTGATCATCACCGTCTTCTTGGTATGGACCTCAGAACCCCTCTGCTCGGGGCTTGTTTCTGTAACAGATTCATCCACACACTCAGCCTGACCCAGGCCAGGCCTGGGCTGTTCCTGTGGCTGGGAGGCCTTCCCTGGTCTCACCGGGCAGAGCCTGGAAGACGCCCACCCCCTCAATATGGGCCTGTTACTTTTTCAGCAAAACATCTTCACCTGTCCTGGGTCTGCAGTAGGTGGCTCTGCAGACCCAAGGGGCTGTCCCAGGGCTGACAGAAGATGAGGAGCCTACAGGTGTGCTCCAGTGTTGGCAGGTTCAAGAGGGTGGGGACCACCTAGGCCCCAGGCCACCCAGCATTCCACCCCACCGGCACCCCTCCTCACTCCCTCTCCACCCCTGGTCCCCAGGAGATCCCTGCAGGAATTTGTACCCTGACAGTTAGGACCCTAGAGCCCAGAACCAAGGCACTCTTTTGAAGGATCTCATGGTCCCCAGCCCCCTTTGTCTCCAGATGAACAACATGATGTCTTAATGAAAGAGAGATGGACAGGAATCAGTCACTGATGTATTGTGCGGATGGCCAGTCACTTGCCCCTCCATGCCTCAGTTTCCCCACTGTGAAATGAATGGTAACAGCAGTACTTGCCCTGTCATGGCCCAGAACTATTGACTTGAAAAAGCATTAAGCAATTTTAAATGCAAGGCTCACACTTGGTATCTGCATAAACTGCTAACCGAAAAGAGCCATTCTGAGTTTTATTGGAAGGGTCAAATTTAGGTCCTTGGTGTTATGAGTTTGGTGTTCATAAATCTCCTTAGCAGTCAGCCAGCCTGTGATGAACATTGCAGCTCGGTGGAGCACAGCATGTATTTTTTTTCTGATGGAAATGAACATCGAATATATAAAAGATTTGATCTAGGAAAGGCGAAGCTGCCAAGGACTCCAACTTGCTTTCCTAATGTATCATTAGAGCATGTTTTTCTGCTCTCCGGGGTTGGAAAGCCACTCGATCTGCATATTACTAATGTCAGAATGGCAGAATGCCCTAGGAGTTCGTTCTTTTAATTGTTTGGCTTTGCTAAGGTTTGGCTTCATTTTTTAAAGCAAGCACCCAACATCTTGCTCCAGAAAGCTGGAAATATTCAACAAGCAGCTGGAGGGCAGTGGGGGGTGCTTGGCATCTTATCAAACAGACAGTGAGTGGTGGGTGCCTTGTAGCTCAGGCATAGGGTTCTAGATGCTTCTGCTGCCAGGTCCCCAAGGATACCGCTAGTACCTCCTCAGAGTTTGGGTATATTAGAAAAAAGAAACTGTTGGCCACTTAATATTCCCAGAAGATGCAGGGGACATGGTCATACAATACAACACCGTGAAATAAAAAAATAAAATAAAAATCTTCCTTTGTCAGAAGATGCCTCTACCTAAACTTCCCCATTCTCCTGTAGCAGCCCCCTTTTTGTTCCCCAGACCCCAGTCCTTTCCCTGTGGTGTATCCTCCCCTCCTGGCTGGTCTTGGGCAATGCCCATGCTGGCCTTCTACCACTGCCGCTCCAGCCTCCACTTGCTAACACACACTCACCTCGGAAGTTGAGGGCAGAGAAGGTCTGGATAGGGAGGTTGATCCTAAAAGGAGAGAGACCAGGCCCCCAAAGGGTTAGGACCCTCCATCTCTCTCATCACCACCCCTCAAAGCTTGCCCTGATCCTCTGTAAACACCATCCTCAGCTGTCCCAGTCCCACTGACTTCAACACTGCTTGGGGCATGTTGAAGTCCAACTTGAGCTGTCCCAGGAACTGTCCCTTCTGGAAGGATCACCCAGTCCATCTCTGACCTTCTGGTGTGACACTAGGATCCCCACTGCACCCTCCACTGTACCCGGATATCTTTCTTGCCCTTGGCATTGCAGGGTGTATCAACAGGAGCTGTGGATGACATCCACTGCATGTGCCCACCCTCCAGTCAGTCTGGGAATCTCTGGTCCACTCACATGAAGGCAAGTTCCAGGAACTGCCACCCCTGTTTATGCCTAGAGCTGGGAAAATGCAATGTGACCTTAGCTACCTTAAGGGGTCATTATATGTGGATATTATTCTACAGTATCTGAAATCTTCCTCTCTATAAATCTGTATCTAAATATGTCAGCTGAGTTTTTTAAACTTCAGATTTTATCATTGTTGTGAGCATCAGTGGGCATCATTTTGTTGAGTAAATGACCTGTTTTGAATTGACATTAGGTTTACATAGTGAAGTGTACAGATCTTTACAGTTCAATCCAGTGAGTTTTGATCAGTGTCTACATCCAAGTAACCACCAGTCCAAATCAAGATGTAGAACATTTCCGTCAACGAAGAAGGTTCCCTTGTGTCCCTTTTTGGTTGTATGGTGTTTTTGTGTCTAAAGGTGATTTGTTCTGAGCGTGTCATTGCATCTTTTCCTGTGAGCATATGTGTGTGTGTACACGTGCGTGTGTGTGCACCCTCTGAGCATGAGTCTCTGCACCTTCTCTCCTAGCCTATCATGTCCCAGTTCCATTTGTCTCTATTCATCTCTCTCTGCCCCCTCCCCTTCCTTCCTCATCACTCCCAGCTCTGCTTCTATCTCTCCCTTGACTGGCAGTGATGTTTTATTACTAGTTGCTGAATATGGTTTTATGCTTCTGGTTCTTAATTCTGAAGGTGGATGTGGGAATACTTATATTTCTCTTTTTATAAAAGCTATTAATTAAATCACTTTTTACCCAGGTGGCTTTGGTTAATTTTCTGTAATTAGTGGAGTGGTGGCCTCTTGTATAATATTGTTTCTAGATCTTGTGATGGTGATCCTGAGCTCCGCTTCAGGGCAGGAAGGGGCCCTCAGCACAACCCCCTCCAGGACCCCACAGTCAGCCTCTGCCTCGCCCCTCACCGGCTCTCCTCGCCCTCCAGCAGCTTCCGGTAGGTGGCAATCTCCACATCCAAGGCCATCTTGACATTGAGCAGGTCCTGGTACTCGCGCAGGTGGCGGGCCATCTCATCCTTGAGGTGTCGGATCTCCTCCTCCAGGCGGGCGATGTTGTCCTGGTAGCCGCTGGCCTCACTAGCAAAGCGGTCCTCCAGCTCCCTCATCTGCCTCATCAGTGAGTCGTTCTGCAGGGGAGGGGTGCCCAGGTCAAGGACCGGCTGTGCTGGTGGTCGGGGGGACACGTGGGGCCCAGGATGGAGAGAGGCACAGTCTCTGGGCTGCAAGGCACTCCAGATGGCCAAGCCTAGGACTTGTCAGAGTCCTCTGAGCCAGGGGACTCGGAACTCAAATGAAACCTTATGTGGAATCTCAGAGAATACAGCTGATACAAGGGAGCACGGCTGCCCACCCTCCCTGCCTCCACGCAGGAGTCCCACGATTCCTGAGAGCATCCCCCTGCCCCGGGAGTCCACTTGTCTGTTTCTACCCCTGCAGTAGATATGAGGAGACAGAGGCCCAGAGAGGGTGTGTGGTGGGCCGGAGGTCACAGAGCGTGAGCTGCAGATGGATAGGGCTGGGCCAGGCGAGGTGGGCAGGGACTCACGGTGCCCTTGAGGGCATCGATCTCGCAGGTGTAGGACTGAATCTGGTGGCGGTACTCCATCATCTCCTGCTTGGCCTGGCGCAGCGCGTCATTGTTCTTGTTGGCTGCCTGGGTCAGGTCAGACACCTAAGGGCAGAGAGGAATGGTCCCTGAGATGACAGGGAGGATGCAGGATACCGAAGGGGTGGGCAAGTAAGCATGGAGACCCTGGGCTCACCCTCTTCCCCAGGGATGGAGCCATAGGAAGTACCTCCAAACTGGGAATGAGGGGGCCAGAGGGGCTGCCAGAGTCTCACCTTTGACTTGTACCATTCCTCGGCTTCCGAGATATTCTTGGCCGCGATGGTCTCATACTGAGCACGGATGTCCCTGAGGGCAGCTGTGAGGTCTGGTTTCGACATGTCCATCTCCACCTGGACCTGCTGTTCCTGAAGCTGGGCCTGTAGCTCGCGGATCTCCTGCAGGGTGTGGCTAGGCTTCAGTCCCCAACCAGCCCCCATACGTACCCTCACACCCCAACTCCCAGAGTCCGGCAGCACCACCACCCACTCCAGCCACTTTCACCAGGGCGTAGCACCTCTTCGTGCACTTTCTTAAGGAACGCGATTTCCTCGTTGAGAGATTCGATCCTGCGCTCCAGGTCAATTCGAGCTAGAGTGGCTGCATCCACGTCCTGGGAAAGGTCAAGCGAGAGGGAGAGGGACACTGATCACCCGGGCAGGGCAGAGGGAGACCAGGCGTGACACAGAGGGGACAGAAGGGGTAAGGCAGCTGGAGACCCAAGAGGACTCACGGCTCGGAAGGCAGCCAAATTGTTCTCCGCTTCTTCTTTCAGCTGAATTTCCTCTTGCAGCCTGGCAGACACAGGCAGAAGGACAGACAGATGGTGAGAATCAAACGGGCTGTAGAGAAGACTGACTGGGGGCTGCCCAGGGAGTGGGCTCAGAATAGAGTGAGGAGGGCCCGCCCACACAGGGAGGGGACAGGAAGTGGCTCCAATCTCTGCCCTGGAACCACACCCTGGAAGTCTGTGTCCTCGCTAGTTTGTGACCTCCCTGGGATTAAGAACCGCGTCTTATTTTATCCACCTCGGGGTTCTTATTTTATCCACCTCCAGGTTCCCGGGCCCCAGCCCCAGCCTGGCCCATGTAGGTGCTCATTTAACGTTTGTGACCTGGGTGGTAGGACAGTGATCACTTGGGCAGAAAAGCAGGACCCACCAGTATTTGCTCTATTCTTGCTGCCTGAAGCACAGGGAGCCTGGTGGAGCCCACAATCAGTCTTCCAATCTGTCTGAGGGCTGCAACCTCCCACCCCTACTCACTCTCTCCTTTCCTCCAGCTTATCCATCCCTCCCTGTAAAGCTTAAGTCTGGCCCAGGGGTCAAGATCCCCTCTCTACCCAGAACCACAGGGCTTCATCACAGATGAACTGAGAGCTACTGCTGGCCCCAGATCTCCTTGTCTCCTACCAACCTGTCCCCTCCCTCCCACTGCCTATGGGCCTCCTTTCTTCTTCCATGTGCCCACCTGAACCCAGAAACATCACCCTAGCATCTTAAGATGCTTTTAAGAAGCACCTGGTCTCCCAAGGTCTCCCATTACCACTCCATGATGTCCCCAAGAAAACTGGGACCATAGCCTCGTCTGCAGCCTGAGACCAGAGGGAGAGAGGGGCAAGGCGTCTCTCACCCCTCTCCCGGGAACACAGCTAGACCACCCTCACCCTGGGTACGACGGGGTACTGACCACTGGACCCAGCCCCAGGCCTAGCCCGTGCCCGGCCCCTGGAGAGGGAGGGGATTCCGGGGGCGCTCGCGGGTGCTCACTTGGCCTTGAGCCGCTGCAGGTCGTCCAGCAGGTTGTCCCGCTCGACGTCGACGCGGGCGCGCTGGTTAGTAAGCACCTCCACCTGGCGCCGCAGCTCGCGCAGCTCCTCCTCGTAGATCTCGGCCACGCGCGTCGGCTCCCGGCCCTTGAGCCGGTTCACCTCGGCGGCAAGCGCCGCGTTCTGCTGCTCCAGGAAGCGCACCTTCTCGATGTAGTTGGCGAAGCGGTCATTGAGCTCCTGCAGCTCCACCTTCTCGTTGGTGCGCGTGGTCAGGAACTCCTGGTTCACGGCATCGGCCAGCGAGAAGTCCAGCAGCTCGCCCGCGCCGTAGGAGGAGGGCGCGCGGGTCGAGCCCAGCCGGCTGGCCCGCAGCGCCCCCAGGCCCCCGGCCCCGCCCGACGTGCGCGACACCTGGTACACGCGGGATGTCACCGAGCTCGAGGAGCCCTTGGTGCCGAAGCCCGCGCGCGGGAACACCGGCGAGCTCAGCGGGGAGCCGAGCGGGAAGCTGGGGGCCCCGCCGAAGGTGCGGCGGTAGGACGACACCCGCTGGCTGGACGAGTAGGCCTGGCTCATGCTGGCGGCGCGGGCGAGGCTGGGCGGCGCGGAGAAGGCGGCGGCGGGCGGCCGGCCGGAGAGTGGATGTGGCGAGGGGAGACAGGGCCCCCGGCCGTCCGCACTATTTGTATCCCTCCTGACATCAGCCCCCGCCGCCCCTCCCCTGACAGCTGCAGGATCCCGCTGTCCTGCCAGGAAAGGGCGGCCCCTGGCGTGGGGGCGGGGAGGCCAGCTCCCCCGCAAGAGGCCTGAGCCCCTCCGCCGGCGGGTGGGTGGGGGGCCCTGCGGGATGTGGGAGAGGCTGGTGGACCTAGGAGGGCAAAGGATAGGCAGGCCTGCCAGGCGCTTCACCGGGCGCAAGCCCGTCTGGAGCCCCCGGCCAGACCCCTTTCAGTCTTTGGGTTCCTGCCTCCTCCTGGGGTGGTCAGGGGAGAGAGCTGGGGAGAGGCTCCTCTCCAGCTTCTCTCATTTAGTTTGAGGGGTTTCTTTTGGCTCCAAGGAGATACTTTGGGTCATTTCCTGAAGAGACAAGGCCTATTTCCAAGACAGTCTCCAAATGACCTTTTTTCTTCTTCTTTTCCTCTAAAGATTCTCTAAAGTGGCAAACATTTAGGAGGGCTCAGGCAAAGACCAGCAATGCCAGGCCTAGTGGAGGAGGGTCTCTGACAGGCAGGGAGAATGGGAAGGCCTCCCTGGGGCAGGCAGCCATCCCCGCTGGAGCCCACCTCCTCAGGCATGTCCACTAGCACCTGCATTCCAGCTCCCAGCCTCAGTTTCCCTCTGGATTCCTGAAGGCCCTTTTCCACCCCACCCCTACCAGTGAGGGTGAAGACTCAAGTTTATAAACAGCAGGGTGATTTCCAGAAAGGGCCTGGTAGGCTCTCAGTTTCCAATTATAACAATTATAACTGTACACTCTCACCCCCACACGGCCAACTTCTCTGGGCTTCTGTCCCCCTGAGCCCACCCCACCCCCTCTCTGATTCATCCCCCTTCCTCCCCCACCCCCACACACCGGGGGTTTCTGTTTTGTCAGGAGCCTCATGTCAACCCAGCCATCTCCCTGGCAGCAACAGCTGCCAACCCCAAATACCAGAGCTGGTATTTATAGAGGAGAATGCATCAGTCCGGGGAACAAGCACACAGGAGAGGCGCTCTGGGGGGTGGGGGTGGGGTACCTGAGAAGACATGGGTGTCAGATGGTGGAGGAAGGCTTGAGGTGATGAGCCCCAGTCACTTCCCACCCACTTCATGCTCCAAGCCCCCAGCAGAGAAGCCCCGAATAGGGCTTGTCCATCCCTTCACAGGTCTCCTCCTTAGTACAAGGCACTGGCTGACCCCTAAGGACATTTCCGCTTCTCCATGAATATTGGCTGTCTCTCCATACCTCCACCTGGCACTATTCAGGTCTCTCTTAGGCCTGACCCTTTAGGAATGCAAAGTTTGGAAATAGAGGTCTGGTCTTATCCTAGCTCTTCCATCACCTGAAGATGTAATTACAAGCAGGCAAGTCCTTCCCTTCTCTGAGTCCTCACTATAAAGTAGGAATGGTCACCCTGGCGGTGTCTACCGGCTATGGGTTTGAAGAGGCTCAAGTAACAATATGCAAATAATACTACCTTGTGTATTCTGAGCACCCACCATGTGTCACTCTGCTAAGCGCTCCCCATCCATGATCCCCAGTTCTCTTGACACCCCATGTTGCAGCTCAGGAAGCTGAGGCAGCCTGACTTCAGAGCCCATGCTTGTCCCCAGGGTATGTGTGAATGTGCCAGGTTAACTGCAAAGAGCTTTGTAGCTGCTGTCTTTGCAAAGCCCTTTCACATTCAGTTTCTAATTTTTATCCCAGAGACAAGCTTATGAGGTGGGTGGGGAGTTCCAGATATTCTTATCCAGCCTTCGAGTCAGTGCAAGCTGTTGTGTTCTGGTTATTTTTGTGTCTCGTCTCCCATACTAGATTGTAGGCTCCTGGAGAATTTTTGGGAGACCATGTGACTCTTTTGCACTCCCCTTTGGACAGGCAGCACCGTCCTTGTTCAAAGTAGCCTGCAAGATTTCTTTCCCATCCCTGTCTTTTGTTAACATATGCTGCGTGCACACAAACACACACGTCCATGAGACACACCTGTCCACGAGTGGACAGGCGATCCCAGCCACTCTTATAACTGGACCCCTCTGACTGCAGCAGTTGGCTCAAGGGGCAGGCCTGGACCTGACCAGGGCCAATCAGAGACCCACCCCGGAATTTATACATGGAACTGGGATTACTAAACTGGAGCCTCTGGCAGCCATGTTTCCTGCCCACTGGGGAGGTCTTTCTGGCATAGGAGGAAAAAGAGGTCAGCATGCAGGGAGAAGCAGAGACACCCAGAGAGAAAGAGAATGTGAGGCTGGAAGTCCTAAATTCCATCTCCTGGGACCCTGGTTCTTCAGTTCTCTATTTTGTGAGCTCCCCCAGTATCCTTCCTGGGTTTGGGGCCAATAAACTTTTCTTTTTTTTTTTTTTTAAACTGAAGAGACTTGGTATTGGCTACTGCCATTTGTAATCAAAACAACCCTGGCTAATATGCTATAAGGAGACTGTGCGCCCATTTCCACAACACTAAAGACGCCAGAACACTTTTGGGACTCCTCTCTGTGAACAGTCTCCAGACCACATAAGGAAATTGCCCTTTGGACCAGCCTGAGGCCTCAGTTACTTAGTGAAATGAGACAGAAAGCAAATAAATAAATTATACCATCTATTCTCTAGTCAAAATCAACATCTACCAGACTTGGCTCTGAACCACTTGGAGCCGTTTCCAAAATGTGGTTCCACCCCTAAGGATTTGCTACCATGGAGGGCAGCAAAACAACACTAAGGCTCGGAAGGCAGGTGAAAGAGGAGCATTCCAAAGCATGTTCTGAACCAGGCAGCACCACTGAAGTAAGAGTTTAGACTCCCCTTGGGACTTCTTAGAACTAGACATGCTAAAAATAATGATAATTTATCTGGATGGGTAATGAACTTAGCATAAAATGCAAAAGATCTCATTCTGTGGATTGCCTTTTCACTCTCTTGATAGTATCCTTTGATGCACAAAAGTTTTTAATTTTGATGAAGTCCAGTTCATCTATGTATTCTTTTATTGCCTATGCTTTGGGTGTCATATCCAAGAAATCATTCCCAAATCTAATGTGAAGAATGTTATCCCCTGTGTTTTCTTCTGAGAGCTTTATAGTTTTATGTCTTTGATCCATTATGAATTAATTTTCATACACAGTATAAGTTAAGGGTCCAACTTCATTCTTTTTCATATTAATGTTATATGAATATTATATGATAGATAATTTTCCCAGCACCATTTGTTGACAAGACTGTCCTTTTCCTCTTATTGAAAACAATTTAGCCATATATGCAAAGTGTTTTTTTTTTTCTTCTAGGCTCTCTGTTATGGTCCATTGACCTAGGTATCTGTCCTCACACCACTACCATACTGCCTTGATTACTATAGCTTTGTAATAACTTCTGAAATCAGGAAGTGTGACTCCTCCAACTTTGTTGTTTTTTTTCAAGATGTTTTGGCTATACAGGTTCCATTGAGATTCCATTTTGAATTTTAAATGGAATGAATTTTTCTATTTCTTAAAAAAAATTTTTGGTGAGATTTTTACAGGGGTTGCATTGAATCTGCAGGTCCCTTTGGGTAGTATTGAAAGCTTAACAATATTAAGTCTTCCAATCAATGAATACTGGATGTCTTTCAATTTTTGTGTCTTCTTTATTTCAGAAATGTTTTGTAGCTTTCAATGTGCAAGCCTTACTCTTCCTTAGTTATGTTTATTTCTAAGTATTTTATTCTTTTTGATGCTATTGTAGATGAAGTTGATAATAAGGGCTTTTCCCTTTATTCTGTTAATGTGATATATTATACTGATTGGGTTTCATATATTAAACCATCCCTGCATTCCAGAAAAAAGTCCCATGTCATCATGTATATAATCCTTTTAATATGCTGTTGAGTTTTGGTTTGCTAGCGTTTTGTTGAGAAGTTTAACATCAATATTTATAAGGAATATAGATCTGCAGCTTTATTTTCTTGTATGTCTTTGTCTGGCTTTGGTATCAGACTAATGCTAGCCTCATAGAATGTGTTAAGAAATACTTCCTTTTCAAATTTTTAGAAGATTTTGAGAAGGGTTGGTGTTAATTCTGAAATGTTTGGTAGAATTCAACAAGGAAGCCATCTTGTCTTACTCTTTTCTTTATTGGGAGACTTTGAGTCATTCTTCTTAATCATTCTTCTTAATATCCTCACTTGTATTTCACTGTATGTATTTACCATCTTTGGCCAGTTTTTTATTGATAAACATTTCCAATCTTTTGCTATTATAAACAATGCTGGTATGAACATCCTTGGAACAAAACTTTAAAACAATATCTATTTACTTATTTGGCTGTGACAGGTCTTAGTTGCAGCAAATGGGATATTCATTCCATCGTGAGAGATCTTTCTCTAGCTGTGGTGCAGGGGCTTTTCAGTCGTGGTACACAGGCTTAGTTGCTCCTTGGCATGTGGGATCTTAGTTCCCTGACCAGGGGTCAAACCCATGTCCCCTGTATTACAAGGTAGATTCTTAACTGCTGGACCACCAGGGAAGTCCCAGGACAAACTTCTGAATATATAAAGTTTGGTAAGGCATTTTATTGGTCATTGGAAGGACTGATGCTGAAGCTGAAACTCCAATACTTTGGCCACCTCATGCGAAGAGTTGACTCGTTGGAAAAGACCCTGATGCTGGGAGGGATTGGGGGCAGGAGGAGAAGGGGACGACAGAGGATGAGATGGCTGGATGGCATCACTGACTTGATGGGCATGAGTTTGAGTAAACTCCAGGAGTTTGTGATGGACAGGGAGGCCTGGTGTGCTGCAATTCAAGGGGTCGCAAAGAGTCGGACACGACTGAGCGACTGAACTGAACTGAAGGCATTTTATTATTTTGGTAAGGTATCACATTATTTCATGGTCACATCTCTC